CTAAGTAACGTTTCTGTGGCCCTCAGTAACAAATCTGTGTCCCTCAGTAACAATTCTGTGTCTGTCCCTAAGTAACACAATTCTGTGGCCCTAAGTAACGTTTCTGTGGCCCTAAGTAACCCTCAGTTTCTGTGGCCCTAATAACAATTCTGTAAGTAACGTCTGTGGCCCTAAGTAACGTTTCTGTGGCCCTAAGTAACGATTCTGTGGCCCTCAGTAACAATTCTGTATCCCTCAGTAACAATTCTGTGTCTGTCCCTGAGTAACAATTCTGTGTCCCTAAGTAACATTTCTGTGTCCCTAACTAACGATTCTGTGGCCCTAAGTAACGTTTCTGCGGCCCTAAGTAACGTTTCTGTGGCCCTCAGTAACAAATCTGTGTCCCTCAGTAACAATTCTGTGTCTGTCCCTAAGTAACAATTCTGTGGCCCTAAGTAACGTTTCTGTGGCCCTAAGTAACGGTTCTGTGGCCCTCAGTAACAATTCTGTGTCCCTCAATAACAATTCTGTGTCTGTCCCTAAGTAACAATTCTGTGGCCCTAAGTAACGTTTCTGTGGCCCTAAGTAACGATTCTGTGGCCCTCAGTAACAAATCTGTGTCCCTCAGTAACAATTCTGTGTCTGTCCCTAAGTAACAATTCTGTGGCCCTAAGTAATGATTCTGTGGCCCTCAGTAACAAATCTGTGGCCCTCAGTAACAATTCTGTCTGTCCCTAAGTAACAATTCTGTGGCCCTAAGTAACATTTCTGTGGCCCTAAGTAACGATTCTGTGGCCCTCAGTAACAATTCTGTATCCCTCAGTAACAATTCTGTCTGTCCCTGAGTAACAATTCTGGTGTCCCTAAGTAACGTTTCTGTGGCCCTAAGTAACGATTCTGTGGCCCTAAGTAACGTTTCTGTGGCCCTAAGTAACGTTTCTGTGGCCCTCAGTAACAATTCTGTGTCCCTCAATAACAATTCTGTGTCTGTCCCTAAGTAACAATTCTGTGGCCCTAAGTAACGTTTCTGTGGCCCTAAGTAACGAATTCTGTGGCCCTAAGTAACGTTTCTGTGGCCCTAAGTAACGATTCTGTGGCCCTCAGTAACAATTCTGTGTCCCTCACTAACAATTCTGTGTCTGTCCCTAAGTAACAATTCTGTGGCCCTAAGTAACGATTCTGTGGCCCTTAGTAACAATTCTGTGTCCCTCAGTAACAATTCTGTGTCTGTCCCTAAGTAACAATTCTGTGGCCCTAAGTAATGTTTCTGTGGCCCTAAGTAACGATTCTGTGGCCCTCAGTAACAAATCTGTGTCCCTCAACTAACAATTCTGTGTCTGTCCCTAAGTAACAATTCTGTGGCCCTAAGTAACGATTCTGTGGCCCTCAGTAACAAATCTGTGTCCCTCAGTAACAATTCTGTGTCTGTCCCTAAGTAACAATTCTGTGGCCCTAAGTAACGTTTCTGTGGCCCTAAGTAACGATTCTGTGGCCCTCAGTAACAATTCTGTATCCCTCAGTAACAATTCTGTCTGTCCCTGAGTAACAATTCTGTGTCCCTAAGTAACGTTTCTGTGGCCCTAACTAACGATTCTGTGGCCCTAAGTAACGTTTCTGTGGCCCTATGTAACGTTTCTATGGCCCTAAGTAACGATTCTGTGGCCCTAACTAACGTTTCTCTGTCCCTAACTCTCTCCCTTCATACAGCCAGGTCTGCCTCTGTTGAATGACTGGAGGCAAATGGAGAATTCTAAAATGGCCGCCATTTATAGCTCGACCATTACACTGTGCTGGCTGGCTGGCTGCTGATTGGCTAATGCGATCACATGTCATGAATGAATGCATTATGGGTCAGCGCGCCTTGTCTGCGCGCCTTCCCAGACATCCCCGCTCCGTCGCCGCACATGTCGCCGCCATTTTAGGAAAAATTTCGATTCGCGCATCCGAAGTCTGCTTATTTTCGGATTCGACGCGAATCGAAATTTTCCTAATATTCGAAACGAATTCCACTTCGCCTACTTCGATTCGCTCATCTCTAATCATATATGTAAAAGATAAGCTGTGATCAGTATTATTAAACCCACAACAGTAAAATCAGTCTGTATGTGCAGTAAAGCATGCTTGTTATACTCACTGTGGAACTTAAGGGAACTTACAACTCCGTGTGTAAAAAGGCTCTTTGATCCTGTCTTCTCTGAACCTTTCTCCCACAGTCCCAAATCCATCTGCTGATAGTACAGAGCTCTAGAAGTCATTCTGCACATGCTCCCCTCCCTGGACAATGAACACTGACCAAACTCAGTTAGCCTGTCAATAGGCTAGAGCTGGCAATACATAATATGATCTAATTGTACAATTTCAGTACAATCTCCTTTAGTTTTACCCAAACTTTAAAATATGAAAAGAAACCTAAACAATACTTTCAATTTGTATCCAGTCAAGCAGATCCTTGTACCAGGGGCGGACTGACAACTCATGGGGCCCCCGGGCAATAGGGGATCATGGGGCCCTTGTGTCCTTGCCCAAACTCAAAAAAGCCTATGAAAAAGGTACCAGGGGCATCTCACGGGGCCCCCTACTGACCCCGGGCCCTCGGGCAGAGCCCGGGTTTCCAAATGGTCAGTCCACCCCTGGACTGTAATCAGCGTTTTTTGGCTGGGATGATTTTTGCTGGAAAAAAAACCCCAGGACTAGTGGGTTTCTAAAGGAGATTTTTATCTGTAAAAACGCTTTAATTCTGTAAAACGCGGTAAATCGTGTCAAGTCACTGCAAACCAGAATTTTTGAACCTTTTATTACCCCAAAAAAACTTGGGGGGGGGTAAAGAAAACGCAAATGCACAAAAAACCAAAAAAGCAGAAAAACACTGCTAAACGCTAATGCAAAAACACAAAAAAATTCTGAACAACTCGCATTTTTAACGTGACTTTACACAGCTAACGTTACCAACGTTATTAAAATGCCCCGTGTGCATGGAGCCTAAATGTGTTTAGATGCATATAGAGTTTAGAAGCACATGTGCATAAACTCTGTTTGCTAGAATATTCATTTATTGTAGCTGCTAGAATACACTTACGCGCATCGATTTAATTGCATTTATTAATTGCATTGATGCGTAAAAAAGCAGTGTGTAAATACGTGTTTAAACGCCTGCATGTGCATGAACACATTAATTTACATGCACTAGAGTCGTAAATAAAAACTTCAGATGCTCCCGAAAGTGTGCATAAGGCCTTGCTGACATTTTCTTGAAGGGTGACCTGGGTGACTGTATCAGCCATGTTGACGCTGTCAGCCGTATTGACCAGCTAACAAACAAATCCCAGCTCAGCTCCTGAACATCTTGGAATGGCACGGCCACTTCAGTCCAGGGGTCACAAGTCGTAACGATGATCCATGCGATGACCTCAGCCGGTTCACAGAATACAGTTATGTGGGAAAAAATGAATTTCCATGCCCTGACAGGATGTTTTGAAAAAGAAACCCCCTAATCTCAAGGGACCGCTGTCTGAACAGTGCACTGCACATAGCTCTTTCATGTAGGGAATGGTTTAACAATGTACTAAGTACAGCAACCCTTCACACAGTGAAATCTGACTTCATTTTCGTTTACAATGTCCTCACTGTCAGCTCTTTGATCCGGCTATGCTATCTTCCTCGATCCGCCTGTGAAGAGTAGGACACATTTACATAACGCCATGACGCCAGATACTCCACTATACACCTTCGCTTGTATGGTCAACCATGGAAACAGAATATATGTAACCTATCGTTTATATTTGATTGTACCAATCTGCAGGTCAATCACAACATAATGCTTTTTCAATTTAATCAGTTCTGCACTTATTTTTTTGCATACATGTAAAAATCTGATTTTTTGGGGGGGTCATAAAATTGCTTAGAATATTATTAGAACATTTTTTGCTACGCTCCTGGCTTTGCATCCCGCTCTCTAAGGCACCTGTCCTCTCTGCACCTCCAGTGGCTCCTCCAGTGGCTGCCTTTCCATCCAGCTCCCAGTGGCTCAAGCCATCCATCTGCCTGTGGTTATGGACTTTTGCCATGACATGCCTGCAAATACTTCACCCTTGTGAGTGCAATATTATATGATTTTAACTATTTTTTTTAATAAATTGACAAACTACACTATATTGGTTCCTTGGGCGCCTCTCTCCCTTTCCCCATTTATCCATCTTAGAATATTATACATTTTCTGAAAGCAAAGGCCCTGTGGAATAAAAACATATTAGCTTCAAATTTGTATGTTTCACAAACTTTTATTTTCAGGGGAAAAAATATAATAAAATTAATTTTAGTGCACACAAACACAATATAATACCCAGTTTTTAGTATAGTATAACAGCTAAGGTTGCGTCAAGTAAATAGAGGCCTAACATGTAAAGTTCTAAAAACTGAGTGCACTCGTGATATCAAGGAAAACATTGGTACCCAAAAATCTCCAGTTTTTAAAAGCCTTTACTACTCATCAGTTTAGAGCAGGGGCGGACTGACCATTTGGAAACTCGGGCACTGCCCGAGGGCCCGGGGTCAGTAGGGGGCCCATGAGATGCCCCTGGTACTTTTTTCATAGGCTCTTTTGAGTTTGGGCAAAGACACAGGGGCCCATGATCTCTTATTGCCTGGGGGCCCCATTGGTTCTCAGTCCGCCCCTGGTTTAGAGGTAACCACAAGTTATGGCACTAGAATTATGGAACTCACTCCAATGTTCGTGGCGATACCTCACATGTGTGGTGAAATTGCAGTTTACATACACATGCACACCAGGCCTGTGCAATGGGTGGGCAGAAGGGACAGCTGCCCTGGGTGCAATGGTTTTCTGTAGGGATGGGGGGGCACCTTCCACCTGTTACAAGTGTCAGGAGTAGTGATAGTGGCAGTGATTTTGGCAAGCGAGTGACTGCTGGGTGGAAGATCCCCTAAGCTTGCACATCATGAACCACAGGGGTACAGTTTGGCATTCTTTGCCCTTGGCACTGGATTACCTTGTCGAAGCACTGCATGCACACCCTGTACACTTGTTTGTATTTGTGAATGTGTGCAGGGTAACGGGCTACATTTATTTTTTGGTTTTTAATAAATGTCATTATAGTAACCCCTGGTTCACATCATACAGTTGTGACCAAAATTATTCAACCCCCAATGCTGTAAAGGGGTTTAGGGACTATAGTGTACATTTGGAATTGTATTCAGAATCAAATCCTACAAGGACGTTGTAACTACCCAAATGCAACTAAAATGACATCAATTGTTTATGTAATACAGTAGTAAATGGTTCTTATGTGGTTTCTTCATTGCCACAATTATTCAACCCCTTAAAGACTACCACTCTGAAGAACAGAGGTTCATACAGGTGCTTTCCATCAGGTATTGAAAACACCTGTGGATGTCACCGAGCAGCAATCAAGCATAATAAGCACCAATTAGGCAGCTTTAAAATGACTGTGATACTCAGCTCCTTCTAGACATTTACTGGTGTGGTTACAAACATGGTGAAGGCAAGAGAATGGTCCAGGAAGACAAGAGAAGAGGTGATTTCTCTTCACAGGAAGGGCAATGGCTATAAGAAGATTGCAAAGATGTTAAACATACCAAGAGACACCTTAGGAAGCATCATTCGCAAATTCAAGGCAAAGGGCACTGTTGAAACGCTACCTGGTCGTGGCAGAAAGAAGATGCTGACTTCGACTGCTGTGCGCTACCTGAAGCGTAGAGTGGAGAGAAGTCCCCCCCGTGTGACTGCTGAGGAACTGAGAAAAGATTTGTCAGATGTGGGTACAGAAGTTTCAGCCCAGACAATAAGACGCACACTGCGTAATGAAGGCCTCCGTGCCAGAACTCCCAGGCGTACCCCCTTGCTGTCTCCAAAGAATAAGAAGAGTCGACTGCAGTATGCCAAAAGCCATGTGGACAAACCACAAAAGTTGTGGGATAGTGTTCTGTGGACTGATGAAACAAAATTAGAACTGTTTGGGCCCATGGATCAACGCTATGTTTGGAGGAGGAAGAACAAGGCCTATGATGAAAAGAACACCTTGCCTACTGTGAAGCATGGTGGAGGGTCAATCATGCTTTGGGGCTGTTTTGCTTCTGCAGGTACAGGGAAGCTTCAGCGTGTGCAAGGTACCATGAATTCTCTTCAGTACCAGGAGATATTGGATGGAAACGTGATGCAGTCCGTCACACACCTGAGGCTTGGGAGACGTTGGACCTTTCAACAGGACAATGATCCCAAGCATACCTCCAAGTCCACTAGAGCATGGTTGCAGAGGAAAGGCTGGAACATTTTGGAGTGGCCATCGCAGTCACCAGACTTAAATCCGATTGAGAACCTCTGGTGGACTTAAAGAAAGCAGTTGCAGTGCGCAAGCCTAAGAATGTGACTGAACTGGAGGCCTTTGCCCATGAAGAATGGGCGAAGATACCCGTAGATCGCTGCAAGACACTTGTGTCAAGCTATGCTTCACGTTTAAAAGCTGTTATAACTGTAAAAGGATGCTGTACTAAGTACTAAGATTGAATGTCACTTGGGGGTTGAATAAAACTGATAATGCTGTGAGCACAGAAAAGACATTTGTGGTTATTTCATTATAACTGTTATGTTATATTTGTCTGACCTACAAGTGCCTCTTTAATGTAAATGTAAGCAAGATGACTGAATGATCAAAAGCAATGTCAAACTGGCCAAAACACTCAATTTCAGTGGGGGTTGAATAATTTTGGTCACAACTGTATGTGGCCATGCCCCGTGACACACAGAGAAGAAGTCCCTGCACCTCTTCTGAAAATGCAGCCTGCACGGGAACCTCGGTTCCCAGTATGGTTGCGTTTTCCAGTGCGGGCGGCGTGCCATTAGAACTATCCGCATTCCTCTGTGCGGGTGGTGCAGCTGCATGGATTTTCGTGCGGATCCGCAGCGGCACCATCCGCACAGATGTGAACCTAGCCTAAATGTCTCCCCTGCCCTCCAAAGCAGCTAACCAAGCACAGATCTGCTTGGTTAGCTGCCTCTGTGGCTGATGACAGCTCTGAAACCAGAAGCAATGTAATCATTGTCGCTTCCAGCTTCATTCACTTCAGAGGTGATCGAAGAATGTGTGTTCCTCCTCCGGCTCACCATCCTGCAGCCCTCCAACGTGCTCCTGGGCTCTCAGGTAGAGCGTGGGATCCTGGTAACCACAGAAGAGGGGTACGAGCTGGGGGGAGGGGGGAACAGTACTGCCAGCCAGGGCCGTGGATAAGGGGGTAGCACCAGTTCTCCTCTATGGGGCCCAGACAGATGGGTAAATTAGATGTGAGCAGAGATGGTGATCAGTGTGGCTGGGGGAGCAATTACTGGAACAGATTCCCTGTATGGTTCTCTCTGCAGCATCTGAAAGCTGGCTTCTTCTGTCGCCCCCCCCCCCCCCCCCCACACTGACTTTCAGCTGAAGCAGAGAGAGACAGGGGATCGGTCCCAGTAATTGCCCCTCCTACTGCACGCATAACCCTCCCTGTGCTCCATACATTCCCCCTACTGCCTAGGTCTCCCGTGTGCCCCCGCCCTGACAGTACTCCCATCAGCAACTGTAAGCACACAATAGGATCAATCAGGATGGAGAGTGGGGGAAGGGTCTAGTATATATGGCACATTTACCAGCCCCTTCTTTTCCAGAATGAACACAATGAGTGACCAGTACCGATCATTCACTGTGTTCATTCATACATGTGGGAGGGGGGGGTGTTTGTTTGTGTTTTTTTTTTTGGGGGGGGGGCTTTCAGGTTAGCTGTATGGGGCCTCGTGGTTTCTAACAGCAGCCCTGCTGCCAGCACTGTAGAGGTGATCCGGTGGCTACAGAGCTGTCTGGCTAATTTTTACTTTATAGCCGGAAGTTGGCTTGAAGAAAAGAAGTTAAGAACACAAGAGGACTTTTGATTTCAAGTAAGAGAGCAGCTACCAGCACAAAGAGCATTTCACATTGAATGTAGGTATTGTCCCTTGTGTTGATATTTAAAAAAAAATTAACTAAACTTAGGCTTTAACTTTCTTGTTATCACATAGGGAACGTATAGAACCCTATGTGATAGCATACTTATAATGACAGGCTCTCTTCAATCAGACATCTAATAAACCCTGGATGTCTCCCTTGCAAGCCACTGAAGCTAAAGGAGCCCAGATTGTGCTTCATTAGCTCCTTGCCTGACCCACCTGTTGACACCCATCATGGCCCACAGATAGTGGAGCCAGGGCAACATGATGGAGGGGCAGAGGTCACGTGCCAGACTGCTTCCATCTGAAAGCTGACTTGGACTCCTGAGTTTTCTAGACACAGCAGGTTTAGCCGGTTTGAAACACGTTTTGATGTTTTGCATGCATTTACCTGTGTTTAGTCACAGAGTTTCTATTCATAGACGCACATAATCTATTTTCTGTAAAAGCAGCTTAATTAAATTCAGGTAAACGCTCAGTGCGAATGACACAACTGAGAAAATCATTGCCAGCATTTATATGTGTCTAGTATACATTCCCATGGGCAGCTGAAGGTGGATAGTTTGCTGCATTTAGACAGCTAAACGCTGCTTTAGGATGCAGCTGCACTCCTATGAACGCATAAAAAATGGCCTGATAGATGCGCCCACTTTATGTGCGGCCAGAAAATCTGCAGAAACATTGTTCCTGGACTCACACTGTCTGCATCCAGGGCTGTTTGGAGGCTCATCAGTGGCACTAGCCATTGATTCTTACAGAGTGGTCAGAGTACAAATCTGACAGTCACCGTGTGTTATGCTCCCCCAACAAGAATCTACTGATTCACTGCCCAGCAGCATGTCAGGGCTTTTGGATGTCTACACAAGAGAGTCCTTATAGGTAAATAGCATGCATAGAACATATTAAATACACATACAAGCTTATGGGTAAATTGTTGAAATGAATGGTCTGGTAACAGGGTCTCTTTAACAAGTAACTATCCATGATGCATAAAGTACACCTGTCATGAGAAACATACAGGGGCTCCTATCTTATAATGTTAGTTGCCTAGCTGTCTGTGGCTCAGAGTCCAGTGAGAGGAACCACTAAGTGCAGAAGACACCGAGGAGATTGACACTCCCAGAAATGTCGGTTTCTCAGCAAGCTTTTGATGAATATTTATCCTGAATGGGGCAATGTTAAGCCTGGGATCACACTGATGCAGTGCGGAAAACGCACCGGTTTCTGTGCGAATTCCACACAGCGTCACAATTGCACCCCGTTCATGCAAACCACTGTGGGAATGTATGTTAACCTCTTCAAGTCTGGACACTTTCACCCTAAAGTCTGTAAAAGCAATAATTTCTCCTCCTCTCTGGCTGCATTCTTGCAGCCATTGAGAAATACTATGTGAGCTGTGATTGGTCACAGCTTGTCACATGGTACAAGGCTGTTGTGAATAGCCTTGTACCGTATGATCTCTGTGATCATTCACAGATTTCACACGTAGTAAGCAATGATGTCAGAAGTGACATCTTGCTTACTACTGTTCATGTGATCACTGGTTGGCGAATCAATGATCACATGAACGGGACCTCACACAGAGGTCCCGTACAACGATCGGTGTTCCACTGTGTCCTCCGGACACAGCGGGCACCGGATCGTGGCGCTGCGCGCTCCCAGGGAGTGCGCACAAGCAGGGAGAGGGGAGGACGTTTATAAACGGTTACCCGCCCCTGCACTGCTCCCGTCCAGCCATTTATATACATGGGCCAGACAGGAAGTGGTTAAAAACACCCCGAAATCGGTTCACAAAACGCGGTGCGATGTGCAGAATCGGATCGCATAGGTGTGAATACACATGTGATCCGATTCTAGTGCGGACCAAAAAAAGAGCTTTGCACCTTTTTACCGTGGATGCGGTGCAATTTGAGCCATATAAAATGTATGGCTCAAATCGCACCACACAGAATTCACATGTGATTTGCACAGGAATGCGGTGCTGTTCTTATGCGAATGACATGCGATATGCCGCACTGCAGAAGTGTGAACCCAGGCTCAGTGGCATGGACAGCGGGAGAGGTGAATATTCCCTCTCTTCATTTGCAGATAGACCTTTTTGGTCATTTTTTCCCCTGACAGTGTCACCTTAAATTGTGAAGCTTGTGTGTGCAGCCCACCAACCTTTCCACAAATAGCT